GTGTAATTAAGATCGGTAACTACTAGCTAGGTAACTAACTAACTTGTGATCGATCCATCCATGGATGTCTTCTGTGTATAGGTTGCTGAGTGCGGGCAAGAGATGGTCGGCGTCATCAAGGCCTGCATCAAGATGGTCAGCCGCGGCAGCATCGGGTCTTCTTCTTCCTCCGGCTCGATGGCGAAGCAGCAGCAGCCGGCGGCGGCGTACGTGAAGGTGGCCTTCATCCTCGGCCTCAGGGTCTCCCCCTCCCACAGGTACTTACTTCTGCTTCCCTCGATCTTTTCACACGGCCATGGCGGCCGGCCGGCGCGCGTGCGCAATGCATGCGCGGCCTAATATATCGCGCACCGTCTTTTCTTTCTTGCTTGCTTACAAGTGCGCTTTCCCTTCTTGCCTAATCGCAACTGGTGGAAGTTTCTTCTTTTGAGCAATGGCGTGCTGACGGCGGCTGTGTTTTTATGGGGTTGTGCTACAGGCGGCTGGGGATCGCGACGGCGCTGGTGAAGGCGGCGGAGGAGTGGAGCCGCAAGCGGGGCGCGGCGCACGCGTCCATGGCGACGACGCAGTCCAACAAGGCGTCGCTGGCGCTCTTCACCGGCCGGTTCGGGTACAAGCCGTTCCGGCGGCCGGTGCTCCTGGGCCGCCCCGTGCACGCGCGGTGGCTGCCGGTCACGAGCCGCCACCGCGTGCTCCAGCTGCCGCCGACGCTGGCGGCCGCGGCCTACGCGCGGCTCCTCCCGGCGCGGGACACCGAGTTCCTCCCCGCCGACCTGCCGGCGCTCCTCGCCCACAAGCTCACCCTCGGCACCTTCGTGGCCATCGAGAGCTCCGACGGCCGCACCGCCGGGGCCGGCGCGCCGTCGCCGTCGTTCGCCGTGCTGAGCGTCTGGGACCAGACCCGCTCGCTCCGCCTGCGCGTGGACGGGGCGCCGGCGCTGCTCCGGCACTCGCTGGCCGCGGTGCGGGCGCTGGACCGCGCCGCGCCGTGGCTGCGCGTGCCCTCGGTGCCGGACATCTTCCGCCCCTTCGGCGCCTACCTCATCTACGGCGTCAGCATGTCCGGGCCGGAGGGCCCGGCCCTGCTCCGCACGCTCTGCAGCCACGCCCACAACATGGCCCGCAACAACCCGGCCTGCGGCGTCGTCGCCGCCGACCTCAGCCCCGACGACCCGGCCGCCGCCGCCATCCCGAGCTGGCGCCGCTTCTCCTGCGACGAGGACGTCTGGTGCATCAAGAACCTCTCCGACACCAATGCCGCCTCCTCCTCCTCCGACTGGCCAGCGTCGGCGCCGCCGGGCAGCGTGCTCTTCGTCGACCCCCGCGAGTTCTGACGTAGCCGCCGCAATGCCATTGACACTGCCATTCGCATGCACGGCATATAGGCAGGAGCAGGCAGAGTCCTCTGCCAAATTTTGACAGACATGTACATTGCACCCGGTGGCAATTACCTGCCTTGCCACCGGTGGCATCAACTCCCCCAGGCTTAATTCAGTCGTGCTACTCAAGTAGAAATTTTAAAACTAGCTTAAACTTGATTTATTTAGTTTGTTTTTCAACCAGCCAGGATGAACAATGCATCGCTAGCTACCTTGTTTATGTTCAATTGTTCACGGTGCATACATGGCAGAATGAGTCAATATTTTCATCTTAAAACCGCACCGCGCAGTTGCAATTTTTCCCCAATGAAAAATGAAAAGGCAGTGCTCCTGTCAATTCCTCGAAGCAACTGTGATCGAAAACAACATTTAGTGAGCCAATAAGAAGAGATATCTTCCCGCAATCACCTCCAAACTATTGGGTTGGCTCATTTTTTATCTAACTTTCTTTTACTCACTTAAACCCCTAAACTACCGTATCCACAAACACTTCTTTCCTCGACAATTTCATTATCGCGTAAACAGCTTCTGGAAATCAAAATTTTGTTTCATTGCCGTGTATGCATGGTTCATAAATATGAATTGGTACGATGATCGGCGCGTAAAAATAACCTATAACCTATTTACCGCACCAGTGCATAAAGATAACCTATTTACCTTGAAACCAAAATGTAAAATGCATGTACTTGATTCTGTATAATATTTAAAAACTTCTAAAACTTTATTTTGTACTTCCTAGAACTAGTCCGGAGGCAAAATGCTTCCAAGATATGAATATGACAGTTTAGGCCGTGATTTGCCGAGTCCAACGAATTTGAAAACAAAAGCAAGCCAAGTCATTGGACTACTCAGATTGTGCCTCTGCATAAGAACAACACAGGATTGCATCCTGCACTAGTGGACACTTCACTAGAGATAATGGGGTCCAATTAACTAACCAATTAACCATTTGGGTTCTGTGATGATCTACGCAGGACAGTGACATACCAAGATGCCCATCACACACTCACCTCACAGGAAATCTAATCTAAGAGCATCAAAAAGACACATTCAACTGCGCGTTAATTAATCGAAGTACTCCTCCTAGCTATAGCTTGACAGTGGGTAAAAAGAAAGCAAGCAGGATTCACCCGGCTAAGTAACACATGACATCAGACAAATCTACCTTTGACTAATCAAGCAGACCACTGGAGAGAGGTGATGCTGGACTTGACTGGCCACTAGGCCGGTCCAAGTCCCCTCTAGTAACAATTAAGAAACTTAACCACCCCTCCTACCTACCTGCTGGTCTTGCACACATTCATATATATCCCAGTTGCAAGAGGCAGATCTTCTTTAATCCTGCGCGAGATCAAACAAATATTCCACGATCACGCGGAAATCTCCGCGCCGCGCCAATGACAAGCCCTACTAACTTTCAGTTCATGGAGGAGGAGATGATGATGCTGATGATGCCATGGTGATGGTGGCCTGATGGTGACGATCTGATCAATGCATGGTCCACTTGGAGAAGAACCAATCAGCCAAGTGCTCCTCGTATGGATCCTAATATGGAATAGTATTATCAAGGAGCTCACTCACCTGCAGGATGGTCCAGGGTACCTCCATGGAGGACCTGTCTAGGCAAAAGTAGGTAAAAATTACTTAGGTTTAGGGGAAATGGTTAGGGAATTGCAGCGATTGATGGTCCTGGGCTTCCGGCCAATCGATGAACCTGGTCAAAAGATAATTAACAGAGTAATGTATGCAGCAGTGGAGGCTTTTGTAAAGGGAAGGTGTTTTTCCTCAAGTTTCAGCCATTCAGGAGGAAGGAGGGGAGTAAGAAATGCCCTGTTCATGTGCTAGGGTTCTTCCTTCCAGCTTTGGTCCCCAACAAATTACAAAACGCAGGAGGGGTGTACATGGCCACCTCACTAACCGCCGCTCATTTTCTGCGGCGCCGCGGGCAATTAGGCGGGCGGTGCGGAGATTAGAAGCCGGGGTTAAGGGTAATGCTCTGTATGAAACTTGAGAATTAAAGCCATATCTTGTGATTCCTGGCTTCCTGACATCTTCCCTGAAATGAGGTTAGAGAAACTGAATTAGCATGTACTCCCTCTGTAAACTAATATAAGAGTGTTTAGATAACTAAAGTGGTGATCTAAACGCTCTTATATTAGTTTACGGAGGGAGTAGAAAGGTAATAGTAGGACAGCAGCTATGGGAAAGGGGAAGCAATCTTATAGACAGATTAGCATGTCATTCACTCAATTCTCATAGAATTCTATTTTCCTTTTGGACAGCATTATCACAGAATCCTTCTAGCTTTGCCTAACAGAACAAATAGCTTAAGCCTATATGATAAGACATGGCATGCCCTCATCAGAACTAATAATAAACATAAAAAACATAACTGATGAGACATAAATCGCCTTCTACATTCATTCAGGTTGCTTGCGGGTGCGTGAATGATGCACCGACCAAAGAAAGGGGGAAATTCCAAATAGAATATCAAAGATATGTTGGAAGGAATATTGAAAAGACAAAACAAAAGGAATATCTAAACCCTTTTTACACTGCTGAATATATATGACATAGTTTTCCTTTTGCGCTTCCATTCAAAAAAGAGAAAAAAATCTAATGTCATTACCAGACAGGAACATTCAAACCCCAATTCTTTTCAGTCCAACAGGAGGAACATTCCTTTCTGGTGTGCAGTTTTTCTAAAGGAAGGCACTTACTTCAGTTGCTGCATCAGAAATGCACTAGGGAGCTAACCTGACAGCAGATCTATGCGCTGCACTCAGATGATCTCTTCATCTTCAGGTGCGTTGAACAAGAATCTGTGGAGGTTGCAAGGCCACACCACTTGTACAGTTTATGTCCAGCCACTTGTACCGTATATACGTAATAGGAATCAGATGCACTGGTCACACATGTGGGGGCACTGTTCAAAGGTGTAGTTCTAAATGTCTCATCTCACAGAAATTGTAACAGACTTGGGTTCCTATGTGATGATGATGCCAATAGACACTTCGCAGTGGATGGACATGAAGAAATGTCTCTGTGAACAGAGCAGGTATATCTATGTTAGGCAATGAGGCATCAGATGCACTGATCATAATTGTAGGGAACTGTTCAATGTTGTTGTATTGGATTCACAACTGTGATAAAGAGAAGAATGGAATCCTATGTGATGGTGCCAGTGGATGCTTTGCACAGGATAGGCATGGAAAAAGTCTAGGTTCACATAACATGCAAGTCTCTGTTACCCAAAAGGGGCATTTTTTAGATAAGTGTCAGTAGATCTCAACTTATACCAACCTTAAAACCCTTACGATCATCATCCAATTTCACTGCTATACTATTGGTGATCACATGGAGTTGCCGCAAGCAATCATAAGCATATTGGCGAGATCTTGTTAAGAAAAGATTAAGGAGAAGATATGATTCAGAGCAACCAGAAATCAGATGATAACGGACAAGCATATAGTTCAAACAATTCCATCCAAGTACAGGTGACAGCTGACTTCACAAATGCGTCAATTACATGGCACTTCAATCAACCGGCAAATTCACAGATCTAGGTCTGCAAACAAGTTCTGGTAGAAATGGCCTTTACGGTCCACGTCGAGGTTGCATCTACTGACCGCCCCTCAGAGCAAGCACAAGATGGAGCACTGAACCACCTTCGATGTTGTAGTCCTTAGCAGTTTTGTCATCAGCGAGTTGCTTCCCAGCATAGATGAGCCTGGACATGAGACAGATTTATTAAGATAAGTGAATGCTAATTAATGTGAAGCTTGAAAAGACAAGCTTAAATGAGACAGATTTATCAAGAGTACCTCTGTTGAACAGGTGGAATACCCTCTTTCTCCTCAACACGTTCCTTGATTCTGTCGATTGTGTCAGTGGGCTCAATATCAATCTCAATTTCCTTCCCAGTAAGTGTCTTCACCTTGATCATAGTTCCACCCCTAAGCCTCAGGACCAAATGGAGCGTCGACTCTTTCTGAATGTTGTAATCAGCTAATGTTCGCCCATCTTCCAACTGCTTTCCGGCAAAAATTAGCCTTTGCTGATCTGGAGGAATGCCCTCCTTGTCCTGAAGTAAATAAACCAAGTATGTCAGCTACTCAGTTGTATCTTTGTTATGAGGAACTGGAACTCTGTTGTATTTTAGTGATGCAGTTCCAGATGCTGGTTCTCTAAAGGATAGGCAGGAACACGGAAACAAAACAACTGTCCATTCAAGTTCGATTCAACACATGTCATTGAGATCTTATATACAAATAAACTCAACATCAAATATCATGACAAGATGAAAACAATGAAAAGTCACAACAATAGCTCAGCCATCACTTATTATTCTGGCGCAGTGGTAAAGCTGCTGCCTTGTGACCATGAGGTCATGGGTTCAAGTCCTGGAAACAGCCTCTTACAGAAATGTAGGGAAAGGCTGCGTACTATAGACCCAAAGTGGTTGGACCCTTCCCTGGACCCTGCGCAAGCGGGAGCTACATGCACCAGGTTGCCCTTTTTTTACTTAAGAAATGAATAGCATTCCCTCTTTCACTTATTCTCCTCTTTCACATACGCCCTCCCCTCCTCCCCTCCCTGTTTTGAAATTTTCTTCCTTCCCATCTCTGGTTCTTCTCCCATCGGTATCCTTGAAAACCATCGTAACTGCCCCCACACTAATTGACTATCAAATAAAAGATATTTTCTTTGGTAGTCAAATAAGTGTCGATTGGCAGATAAAGTCAGTTTTTGGTATCACATCGATAAAATGGCAGGTAATCAAATCAATAAAATGGCAGGTAAATAACTGTGATTGCTTACAAAATATGTATGCTCTGCTGCAACACATGTGCATTTACCTAGTGCTAGTATAAAAGGAACAAGCATAATATTAAGCTATATACCGAAAGTGGATCTAGAGTGCCTTGGTCATCCATTTAACATAACAAAGGGCCAAAATTCAAAGTTGATCCCTTCTCCCAAAATATGTCATGCATCAGAGAGCTGATCATGAGCACACCTACAGCTTGGCTTGAGGTCAATTCACACTACAAGCTTAAAGAAAAGCTTGTGCTTAGCTCGTCTTTGGCTCGGTAAAGCTCGAGCTCAGCTGGGGTAAGCTCTGGCACCGAAACAATGTATTTTATTACCACACAAGCCTGCAGGCTGTAGCAGTTCAGGCGCTCAACCGCGCTGTCCATTACGCAAGCCATTCTTTCAAAGTGTGCATTCCAGCACGAACCTACTAAACAGGAGAAGTTGTACTAAATGAGTCATCTTTGGCTGTAGCAACAATTGATGGGCCGAAACAGGGCCAACTTGGAAGCTGGCATGTAGGGAAATGGGTCTTGGTGCGGCATATAGAAAATGAATGGGAGGCAAAGGACTGCCCTCAGGCGCCGTGAGCGTGAGCTATGCAAGCTCGACTCATCAGTAGCTCCAGCCTAGCTTAACCAATACAATTACTACTAAATGTTAAGAACATTATTTAAGAAAATTTACTGTTGCATTACCTCTGCTTGTGGATGCAAGTAAAGCTAAACCTGTGAATAAACTCCATGCTTTATCAAAGAATTCACGTATGCACCAACTAGTTTGCGCTGAGCGGTCGAGTAAATATAGACATTTTTTCCAAGAAATTGCTTAGCAAACACCTTGTGCTCAATCAGTCTGTCTAGCCAACATATTTGGTTCAATCAGTTTACTGGTCACTGATACTGTATGACTATCTAAGCTACATTAACATCCAAAAAAACGACATCCTACTGGTAATCATGTATCAATTCTCATATCAATCAAACACATCCTAAGGCCATGCTTTCCCCCGATAGAAAGGAAGTGAACCATCAGCACGTCATACCGGTCAATGACATTACAGTTGCTGCTTCCTCAATTTCACAGAATCCTCTGATCGTCACGTTGCAGTACATTGCAGGACGGTAGCACAAAGACACAATTCACGGCAAAGCAGAGCACAGCAACGGTATCTGGTTGCTGTCAGACACCTATGAACCGCAGGTCAATTTGCGCAACACCGAAACTGACGATCCCGACCAAAGAAAACGAGATCTCTGGAGCCACCCCAATCCTGACCGTCCGAGGATTATTTTATTTTTGAAGCAGGAACCAACCCTCGCCGCCCGAAACATAGCGGCGCCGGCATCGAAGGAGGCGCGACTCGCCCGAGATCGATTGCGGGGAAAGAAGGGAAGGAAGGGGATGGGAGGGGGGAATCGGACCTGGATCTTGGCCTTGACGTTGTCGATGGTGTCGCTGCTCTCGACCTCGAGCGTGATGGTCTTGCCGGTCAGCGTCTTGACGAAGATCTGCATCTTCGGACCCCCTCCCTCCTCTCCGCGGGGTCGACGGATCCGCTAGGGTTTTGCGCGGAGGCGGAGACGGAGCGGAGGTTTAGGTCGCTCGCTGGTGATTGATTGGTTGCGGACGACGACGACGACGACGACGACGATGATTGAGGGTGGGTGCGGCCGTCTCTTTTTTGCGCATTTTTTTTTTGAGAAATCTTTTTTGCGCATATAATAATAGGCCCCGCTGAGCCCAGGTCGGACGGGCGTGGGCCGGTCACGACAAAGGCCAGGCCTACACGACAAATACTACTTCCGCCGTGTATGTATGTATATCCGGATTGGCCCGGAAACGGGCGAGACCAGTGCTGGGCAGGCCCAACAGGGATGTGGGTCGTCTCGCTGATGTCACCCAAATTTCCTTTTTTTTACATCTTAAATGAGCATATTAAAAAGCATAACTTTAATTTTCCAATACACATTTTTAGCCTTTTAACATAGTATAAGAACAATGCCGCTGCTATTAAAAAAATGTTGAGCGACAACGAAAAAAATGTTTCTGCGATTCAAAAGGGTGCATGTGCGCTTGAAAAATGTGTATACAATGTAAGAAAATGTTCCCGCAGTATAAAAGCATACTTCATACATTTAAAAATATGTGTGTGAAAATATATTACAAAAAATTACCACATTACAAAAACTATAGAATGTTTATTACCATCAGAGAATGTTCCAACGTGTATTTTAACAAATGTTGACTGTGCATTACAAAAAGTGTTTAAAACATGTATTAAAAGAAATATATATGTAGTTTATTTGAAAAATGGCAACGTGTATCAACTTTGTTTATACATGTACACTAAAAAAATTATATTATGTTTCATGTACTAAAAATTTAGCCGTGTGATAAAAAAAGAAAAACCTACAAAGAAAACAAAACAGAAAAAAGAGAAGAGCTGAAGAAAAACAAAGAAACCCATTAAAAACAAGGACTGTGATATTTGGCACACGTGTGCCATATAAACAAAACTGCCACACCTCTATTTCTTTCATTTTAAAGTACCATACGATCCCTCATTCTTTGACCTCGCCTCTTCCCAAATGACCCCATAGGCTCGCCTGAGAAACCTGCTTCTCCCGCACCTTTCGGGCGCTCACCCCCGAGAAAACTGTCACTTCTTCACGTCTACCACATGATTTCTTCTCAGGACAAAGTTACCATGATATTCGTATGCAAGTTATCAGGCATGTGTTGCATAACTTACTGTGCTATTTACATAAAACATATCAGGTACTATGCTTCAACAACTACACTCTTTCAAAGTTACCATTGTGTTTTGTACACAAATTATAAGGTCTTCAATGTGTAAAATACCGTGGTACTTACACATAAGTTATCAGGGTATATGTACATCAACCTCCCTCCCGGTCAAAGTTACCATGGGGGATTGTACATGAGTTACCGGGTCTACGGTTCGTATATTATCATGGTACTTGCACCTAAAAATCTGGGTGTGTTTCGGTAGCTTTTTCCATAGGTCAAAAATTACCATGATGTTTTTGTGTAACTTATCACGCTTATAGCACGTGTGTCCCTCATGACACTAAACATTATGTGACTTTCCCGTGGCACGCCATGTGTTGTGTTCATCCAAGAGGCCCACGCGCGAGGCGAGTGTATGTTTTAACAACTTATATATTTTCCTTTGGTAAAAAAGTTACCATCATGTTTATATTGCAAGTTATCGGTTATGCGGTGCTTATATTATCATGTTATTTACACAAAAATTATTGGGGATATTTTGAACAACTTTTTCCCAGGACAAAAAGTTATCATGGTGATTCTAGATAACCTATCAAGCCCGTAGTGCTTAAAATATCATGTTATTTACACAAAATTTATCAGGGATATGTTTCAGCAACAAATTCCCTCCTCCCCCCCCCCCTCCACGGGTCAAAAACTTATCATGGTGTTTACTTATCGCAGTGCATATGTTTTCATACTATTTACACATAAAAATGTCAGGGGAGGGAGGTATACTACCGTGCTATTTACACAGAAGATACCGGAGTATCTTTTCAAAAAAAAAAACCCTACGGTCAAAGTTACCATGGTGCTTCTACCTTAGTTATCAGATGTGCGCTGCGTATATTACCATCTATTTACACATAAATTATCAGGTATCTTTTCACATTTGTTTTCCTCAATGGTTAAAGTTATCATGGTGTTTGTATCTAAATTATCAGGTCTATGGCGTGAATGTTATCGTGCTATTTACAGAAATTACCGGGGGGACGAATTCAACAAATTTATTCCCAATGATCAAAGTTATCACGATGCTTGAAACAAAAAGTTTTTCAGTGCTAACATATTAAAGGCAAAAACATGTCAAAAACAGTATTTCCCTTAGAATGTTCAACAATGAGTGTCATAGATGAGGTGGTTGCCTCCCTTTGTTAATTACCTGCAGACCAGAGACCAAATCTTAGTCTAAGCATTATTTTTGCTGAAAATCGAGAAGGCATGTGGGGCCATAAATGACGATTACGAAAAAAAGAAAATCAAAGAAAAACGGTGAAGAATGAAAAACACAGAAAAAAAACAACCCAAACAGTGAAAAAACGACAAAAAAGAAAACCCACGCAAAAAAAATCTGCCCAAAACAATTAAGAACCGGACAAAGAAAACAAAGAAAAGAACGCACAAACTGCTACAATAGTGGGCCGGCCATCGTGTTGCGCCCGAGGCGAGCGAAACATACATTCCACATAAGTGAGATATAGCTCCCACAAGGGAAAAATCAACAATCCGAAAGATGCGTTATTTGCCGCGAGAATATGCTCGGGCTTAGAAGAACCTTCAGCGTTTCCTCACAAAGAAAAAAAAGAACCTGTCACTTTCAGAAATGAAAGAGTGGGAGGAAGAAACGAGATGCACAGGGCAGGCATCTTTGGCTTTACTTTTTTGTTTTTGCTTGAGGAGAAAGACATCCTTAAAAAAAGTATTACCTGCGTCTCAAATTACTGCCGTGTTTAGATACGACGTGTCTAGACAAATGTAAAACAAGTAATTCGGGACAGATGGAGTAGATCTTGATTGAAATTTGCCGACTCGAAGGCTGAAGGAAGAAATCTAGTCACAAACTACTACTCAGAAAGATCTTAAAAAATGGCTTATAATTTTCTATCTCAAGAAAAATGGCGCAATTTGATCAAATTTGAAGAAAACGATTTTTTCAATAAATTCAAACAAACTTTACAGCGTCTGAGTCGAGACAAAAAATTACAGGGCCGTACAACCATAGCAGGATGACTTGGCCCCCTTGGATTATCTCCAGGGCCCACTCCCCACTGGGCAGCTCCGTTCACACCGCGCGCTGCCGCCGCACAGAGAGAGCGCGCGCGCCATGGCTCCTCCGCCTCGTCGCCGCCGGCACCTCCTCCTGCCCGCGCTCCTCCTCGCCGTCTCCGCGCTGTGGGGAGCTCCGCCGGCCGCGGGCGCCGCGGAGTCTTGCAAGGCGTGGCTGGTGCAGTCCATCCCCACCGACATGCCCCACCTCCGCCGCGTCCCGGGGGTCCTCGCCACAGGTACCCACCGGCCCCCCCTCCCCACCTCCCCTCCCTCTAGTCGGCGCGGCTGTTCTCGCCGTCGATCCATGCGGTTTGGCTCCTGGGGCTTCGTTCCTCGATTACCACCCTATTCCTCATCGATGTGTAGGATAAGGCGTTTCGAAAGGTGTAAAAATGTCTGGGTTCTCTAAGACGGCATTTTGTTTCAGCTTGCTGTGAATGCAAATGCGTTCTGAGTTAATAGGACGCACATTCCATGGATGGGTTCGCCTGTCCGGTCAATTGGCCGTGCCCATTGCAATTTCTGTTTGCAGGTGCACGTAGGATTCAGTCATTGATGTATGAGTGGTGGTGTTTGGTTTCAGCATAGCTCAGCGCTTCTCGCCGCGCGGTACTACAAGTGTTGTTGACAACATGTGTGATTTTAATTAAAATTGCTCCTTGTCTGACTTCACGCGAAAAAAAGTTGTGGACGAATGGAATGGACTTTATCTGTTTATGTTAGTTGCCTGAATTGATAGTTTGATACAGAACTAGCTGACTTTTGTTATTGCTGCTGATCCACAGCGGACGTGCTCCAGTGGCTATCGGGGAACACGACAGAGAGCCTTGACATCCTCGCGCAATACTGGCAGTTCATAGCACACCCGAAGAACCCGAAATCAGGAGAGTACGGGTTCTCCGAGAGCGACATGGCGAAGTTTGGGGCTGAGGAGGGGCGCCGGGTTTACAACGCACTTGAGAAAGCTGCAGATCGTAAGGTCCAAATCAGGCAAGGGTTGATGTCAAATTTTCAAGTGCTAGTTGTTAGTACCATTACAGTGATTTCTGTGCCATAGGAAGTTAGTTGTCCTGATTATGTTAGTGAGAAGCAACATAGGTGCATGCCCGTGATAATGCTGGTTTTGGCACTGCGCAGTTAACTGCCATGGAAGCATTCAAGCGAAAGGAGTTAAAGAACGATGAGAAGGAAACTTAGTATGTGTGTGCACAAGTCTAATTCATTTTGTTAACGACTGTATCATCTTTGCAGGATCGCGCAGCACGCTGGATTTGCTCCTGATTTCGACCAAGAGAGTGCTAACCTCGCTGCAGGAAGGCCAAACGTTCAGAATGTAACCGTACTTTTTGAGGATTGGTGGGGATCCGGCGTTCTGCATGCAAAAGTCTGGATATCTGACAAAAAGGATGTGTATATTGGCTCTGCAAACAATGATTGGAAGTCCCTTACCCAGGTATACTGGAAAGTAAACTAGCGGTACAGTGTTACTGCATTTACATTGTAGTTTGAAGAAAAATGCCGAAAAAACAAGTTCGTTAAGTTGAATCTGTTTGATAGTACTTTGACTTCTTATTGCAGGTGAAGGAGCTGGGGATTTATTTCGTTGGTTGTCCACAGATAGCAAAAACTGTTGAGGTGTATTTTCAAAATCTTTGGACACTTTCAACACTCAATTCAACCACTTACACCAAAATTGCCTGGGATAAGAAGTGGCAGACTTTTAGAAAGGTGCCATGTTGGTCACATTTCCTACAACCTGAACAAAGATGCAGGTTTGTAGCCTTATTGGTAATTGATAATCAGTTACTACCCAGTACAAAAATAAACTATCTCCTACCTACATGACATCATATTATCCATAACTTCCTGGCAGTTGTACTTTGTATGTTGTGTCCTTGTGCTAACATTTTTGTCAAACTGCTGACAGCATTTAGCTGTGTTCCTTTTATGTTCACCATCGATGTAATGTGCATACTGTTGCTTGATGTTAAATGGATACAATATTTACTGTTTTTTACTTGAAGGCATGTTATGGTTTCATAAATTTCCTAAACATTATTAGTAGGCATAAGTACTCTAATTCTTCTGTCAGTTTCCCTGGGTTGAATAATTCTAATATGCACCAGGTCACCTCTGCCACTTTCTGTCGATGTCCCGTATATCAACGGCTATCCATCCCTTGCCAATCCTGAACTGCTTGATGTTTTAATTGAAACCCCTGGGCTCAAGAGATCCAGTAAAGAACACCACTTGAGCTATCTTTCGTTTGCTCCACCTGAGGTAATGCCTCATATTGTGTTCTTTCTGAAGAAAAAGGGAATAGCTTTCATTTTTTGTATCAAGCAAGGGAATATCGGAAGTAGTATCATGACACTAACCCATACAATTTTCAGTCACTTGGTACTGTAGTAACATAGCCTCTAGCACACAGCCACACACTTGAATTTCTAAAGCACATACCATTTAAAAAATTTGTTTTCTGGGTTGCCTGGCTGCCTCACATAGTCTGCCTTAGCCCTTAAGGAAGAAAAGGAGAATGTCTGCTACAACAGTTGGCAAGTCTGTAAAATATTTATTTCAAGCTCTATGATTCTTGGCGTTAACGATCGATTTCCAGTTACGCGTCATTTTATCATACTATGTGAAATTAAAACATGCGGATCACTTTTCCAAGGAATAATCTTCTAAATTGTAACACATGTTCTGAATCTGATGCTGATTCAAGTTGTTCATGTTTTCCAGCTGTCGTTTGATAAGTTCCAGGCAGATGAACAAGGTTGGGTCGACACCATCAAATCTGTCAATTCTGGGGGAATGGTGAGGATAAGTACTATGGACTGGCTTGGACAATCGCAGTATGCTTCTGAAACTGTGTTCTGGCCATCTTTGTCGTCAGCGATATCAGAGGTATTTAAGTTGCATTTGTTATGCCAATTATGCAGGCAATACAGAGTCTCATGTAGTTTCAGTAAAATTGGGATACTTGGATATAATCATACCTTTTTTGCAAGGTGACATCTAATATACAGTATCAAATTTGTAGATCAACCGAAATAATTTGGTACTATCATGACTACATGAGCACTGTAATCAGTACTATCCAGTTGGCTATTTGCCAAAGCTTCAACACCAGAACTTTGTGGAATTGTACCTTACATGACTCTAGTTAAGCAGCCTGGTGACATTTTATTTTCAAAAAAATAATATCTCCTGGACAGTTTATCTCTGTACTTATCAATGCTGAATTCATCTACTAACTGAATATAACCTGATCATTGATAGGTAATATTCTCCAAGAATGCAACAGTTAGGCTGCTCGTAGCCTACTGGACACACTTCATCCCAAGCACTGAAAAGTACTTGAAGAGCCTCCTGTACTCAAACATCCTCTGCGCATCTTCGAAATACAACCACTGCAGCGGCAAGGTCGAGGTCAAGTACTACTTGGTTCCCGGGTACAACGAAACCGGACCTGCCTTGGCTCAGGGCGCCGCGACAGGGAACCGTTATCCCGACTTCACCCGGGTGAACCACGGCAAGTATGCCGTCAGCGATGTGAGGGCAAACATCGGCACCAGCAACCTCATCTGGGACTACTTCTACACGACGGCTGGAGTGAGCTTCGGAACGTACGACCCCTCCATCGTCTCGCAGCTGCAGGACGTCTTCGATGCGGATTGGGATTCTCCCTACACTATGCCGGTTAAACCTCTGGAGGCGTCCAGGTGATCAGATCAGTTCACTCATTTTTCTCCACCTGTTGCCAGGAAAGAACATCGGGCCTTGTCTTTCTGCAGACCTGATGCAGGCAACGACTTAACCAAAAAAGCGATGCGGTCGTTTTCTTTGCTTAGTCAGGTAATCATATTTCTCTTATTAGTTTGCTTAGTAGTACATTGTAATGCCTTGTAACTGTCGTCCCATAGCAAGTTGTGGCTGTGACCTAGAGTACTAGTTGTATGTTAGCTGTGAGCTTCACATATGTTGGTTGTGAACTTGACATGTGTTGCTTCTGAATGAATGGCTGTGAACTTCTTCAACCTGCTTGTCCTCTTATATTCGGTATATAACAAGGAAAAACAACTTGATGAGTAAATAAAAAAACATAAGAAGAAGAAAAAAGTCAAGTGTGTCAACTGCTTTGTTGAACGACCACTAGCTATATGATAGTACGATGGTGACTTGATCCCGTGTAATCTAATGGCCTTAACCAGAAAATTTCAACGACAACACCATCAATCAATCCGTGGGCTCTCTAGTTCCTTTCGTGTGCACTATTTATGCTCTAAATTTGACCATGACAACTAACTACTCCCCCACTAAATCCCATTCCCTATTTCATGATGCTCCTCATGGTTCCTCCTTCCCAGGCACCACGGCCAAGCCATCAGCCATGGCCTCCGGCCGTCGTCCGACCACCGCCCTAGTCCTGACGTCGTTGCTATGCCTCTACCACGCGCCAAGCTGTGTCCTTTCGCTCTCCTTCACCCTCGACTTCTCCGACCCCACCGCCGGCTCGTCGATTGTCGTCTCCGGCGACGCACTCGTGAGTCCACCGGCGCTCCAGCTGACGAAAAACAGCTGGGCATCGTACCGGTACAAGGTGCCGCTATGGAACGGCGCCACCGGCGAGATGGCTAGCTTCGCCACCGCCTTCTCCTTCCGGATCGCCCCAGACAAGGACAGCCCTCCGCAGCAGCCAGGCAATAGGATGACCTTCTTCCTCGGCCATCTCCCTTCCGTGGACTTCCCGCGCAGCAGCAGCAGCGCCGGCGGCGGCCCGGCCGTCGTGACGGTAGAGTTTGACGCTTTCCCCAACCATGTCGGCATCGACATCAGCTCCGCCAACTCCACGGCGTCCGCGCACACGACGGCGACATGGCCGGGCAAGAACCTCACGACGTCCAGTGTCATGGAGGCCACCGTGAAATACCACAACGACTCCAGGATGCTGGCTGTTGCTCTCCTCATCGACGGTGCCCTGTACCAGGTCAGTGCCACCGTTGATCTGCGCCGAAATCTGCCGGAGGAGGTGGCGATCGGCTTCTCCGCCGGGATGCACCGGATACTGTCGTGGTCGTTCGGTTCCACCCTGCCGGAGTCCAAGCAGGAGGCATCTCCTCAGCTTGCTGAACCTCCTCTCCTAGCCAGCAGCTACGACCACAAGAAGATAGCATTGGTCCTACTATTCCTAGGAACGATCACGACGAGGTGTGTCCGAATTGGATTTCAGTTTCGATTCAAGACATCATCGGGTCGTGCTACCTTAGCTGTCCTAGCCTAGTACTCCCTCCGTTCCAAAATAGATGACCCAACTTTGTTCCAAAATAGGTGACCCAACTTTGTACTAACTTTATAGTACAAAGTTGGGTCATGTATTTTGGAACGGAAGAAGTATTTTACATGCATATAAAGAATTGTGTGGAAAGAACTCAGTCGATTGAAACTTGACAAAGTCTTAGTAAAGTGACATTAGCGTAGTTGTGTTGCTACGTGCACGACTGGATTCTGCAAACGGCAACAATAAATGTTGCGGCAGTACTGCAAGCACGTCAACTGACCCTGCAACAATTGTGACTACATGTTGCAACCGTCAATGGCGGATGTTGCGACCGATGAGACGATGTGCTATGAATGATGAAGGATGGAGCAGATAGAGGAGCGGCTGGCGGCAATGGATTTCGCGGTGAAGGCAGCCGCCACACTCGACGTAGGTCTAATGGTCGGAAGCAACCATAAAGAGGGTTATGCCGCGGCTGCAAGAGCGCATGTTGCAAAGATTGTCCAGGCTGACGTGCGGCAACATCAGCAACCTTTGCAACTTCGTTGATGTTGTGAGCGCAGCTTTGCAACATGGTTGTTGTTGCAGCGGATGGAGACGGATGGATGGCTCTGATTTACCTCATTCAACGATGGACGAGGCGCTAGTTAGCTGGAAGGTATCAGACGGTCGACGCATAGCGCTCGCCATATTTAAAGTCACGTCACCCTTGAAATACCGACTTGTGTGGATCAAGGGTTGTGATGTCATAAGCACTAATCATTGATATGAACTTGGGAGGATGATAATTGAATGGTTTGTGAGCACTTAGGGAGGTACCCCTCAGTATTAAAATATAAGATGTTTTTTAACACTGTTGTTTTATATTTTGATATACATGGAGTATATTTATCCATGAGTAGTACTCCGTATTAATAAAAATGCATATTCGAGTAACAACATGCCTTCTTAGATCTAAATCGAGGTGCGTTCCAGAAATCCTCTACCCATATAGTGTAACAGCACATGACAAGCATTTCAAATGCCATCTTTGTGCAACACATGCTCAGCTTGCACGAGGCAGATTGAGTTTCAGGAGAAGAAGAGAAGAGTTGCTGTGGAAGAAAACAGACGGAGGATGAAGCAAAACAAATGGCTGAAATTTTATACACTACAAAACTGAAAACAATTCGCCTAAAAGCATCCAGCAGTCGGTGCCAGTGTGGCGCTATCACTGAAAATGAAAGAGGCGTCCCTTCCATGGATATCCAAAGAGAAGAGGTGTTAATCATGGGCCACAATTTAGGTTAATTCCTGCTATGTTTTCTTATATTCACAATGAAAATAAGAATGTTCAAATTACAATCTCTGCTCCACAAAAAAGGGAGAGAAGCAGAGAGTCACATTTCACAAATTATTTACAGTGCTGCCTCCGCCATGGCAAGAATCGCCGCGGCCCTTGAGATTTCAGAAGTCGGCGAACCAGTCGTCCGCGTCCTCGTCGTTGAGGTAGTGGCGGTAGCGGTCGAGGTCCTCGTCGGCGAGGCCGTAGCGGCGGCGCCAGTACTCGAGCGTCGCCTCCGCCTCCCGCATGTTGCTCATCAACGTCTGGTACGCCGCGTTGATCCGCTGGAAGTCGATGGCGTCGTCTTGCTGGCCGTCCCCGCCGCCCCGGCGCACGACGTCCGGGTGGTGCTGCAGCGCGAGGCGGTGGAAGGCCCTCTTGACATCGCCCCTGGTGGCCCCCGGCGCCAGCCTCAGCGTCCGGTAGTGGTCATCCTCCAGCGCCCCGCCCGTATGCCTCGCCGGCGCCGCCCCGCGCGCGCCCCCGCATCTCACCGACGACGACGACGCCGTCCCACACCGCCGCGCCGGCGCCACTGACGCCGACGGGACGCGCAGGTTGAGCACCACTCCTCCTCCGGCAGCCATGGCTGATGCCTGATGGCTGTATCCACACGCGCCAAGAGATCACGAGAAGGTGAAATGAATGGATCGGAACGAGTGGGGATGGAGCTGTGGGATCTTTGGATCTCCCGATGCGTTCGCGCTGTTGACCGCGTGGTGGAGCTGGAATGGTTGGTGCTTGGAATGGATGAGGCTGCCGCGTGGTGGCGCGTGGGATTTATAGGATGGAGGAGGAGGCGGTTGGCTCGCCGGAAGGAGCGGCGCGTCTGGGACACGGTTGTCTTGTCTTGCCGGAGTTTCCCACGTTGCCATTGCTCGCACGTTTTGTCACGGACGAAACTTGACGACGGGGAGACACCGCGGCGTCACTATCCGTTCCGTTTTTCCATCCCGTTTTGACTGGATTGAGATACCCCGTAGGAAGGGAGCTGTTTTTGGCTGTTCTGGGGAAAAAGAAAAGAAAGCTTTCATGTGAAGTTTTTGAAGTGAAAGATGTGTATTTAAGTTCAGTTTGTCTAATTCACATCTAGATTTTTTTTAAGAATCTAAGCTCTCACAAATATATAATGCAGCAACAAGAAAAAAAACTAAAACAAAAAAACTAGAACAAACAGAGTTGTCACATTTAGATGTATCCTAGACAGACCCATTTAAGTTTTCAGCACTCAACAATTGACCAAGTAGTACATGCTATTACAAACGACATGGAATTTCTCCGTTCCCGCCTTCCGGTTGCTTGTGCACCTCAAATAATACAATTCAAAAAAAGTAAACAAAATCTCAAAATTCTAATTTTTTTACAACACACATGTCGGAGTGTTCTACTACTTGCCATGCAAAATTTTGTGAAGAAATAGCATTGGATGTGCTCAGCGCCAAAAAAACAAAAACAAAATGGGTACTCTAAAAAAAGCTCTTTTTTGAAGAGTTTTTGGCTGCTAGTTTTTTTTCCTACCCAAAGCGTCAAGAACGTGATCACTTCATGAAAATTAAAATGTTAGGGAGAAGAACTCCCGGAGAACACTCAAGAATGTTTGTAAAAAAATAAAATCAGATTTTAAAATAGTTTCAGGATTTACCGTTCACCCGGCTGCATTTGCACCCGGGAGCATAATGGTACTTTCGATATTACAAACCTCAACTCCAAAACTAGATGATTTACTTCTTTATTCTGTAAAACCGGATAAATACAACTCTCCCCCGTCTGGTGCATCAGAACTTCTTGTGCATATGGATCTGATTTTTTTTTCATAAGTTCCAAAATTTTAAAATATATGCAATATAGAAAAAACATCAATATATGATTTAAAAAGTTCAAGTCAAAATTAAAATATAACTTTTTTTGAGACAACTGAAAATAAAAATGAAAAATTGGCATCAATGCTGATGATGGGCCAAATACAAAGCCCAACTTAGACTGGATACTATGTATTGCCGAATATTTATCTTTTTATCATCGTGTCTTATGAATTTTCATTTGATTTTTTGCCACATGCTAGATACAAGTGTTACCTATGGGACTGTTTTCCTTTTTGAATTTTCCAGAACTTTAAAGGTTCAAATTGACGTCATGATGGCTACATTATTTCCACACCAATTAAGAAAGATGGAAAAGCAAAGGTCAGATTTTTGAAGTCCAAAGAAAATGTACTTCCTTTTGTTTTTTGTAAATATTAAAAATGTAATAATTTTTTTTAAATATGGGAAAGATAAACATCTGACCAACATAATCGATTCCAATTATGTGAGAAGTTCTAGGAAACCCCCAAAAGATCTCTCAAATCATGAAGTGAGAATTATGTATATAAAAATGTTGGTGATGTTGATTAACTTGATTTAAAGAAAACAACAACAAAATGATGTCTCTCTCAAATATCATGACATTTCCGTACTTTTTTTATGTCTTACCTGTTTGGTTGATATATATATTTTTAAAAATGCATGGTTTTTTTTGGGCAGGGGGGATATCATTCTTAATAGATTTAATTGTTTTATTGGACATACCACCGTATCGCATATCTGATATGTATCCAAGTATCCACTCAATGTAGCTCACAACACAGTTACCTAAAATGTACACATGATTAGGAAAATCATTGATCCATGAGCAGAACACACCTACTTGTGATTTACTGAATTGCTTTGAAACCCTCATAACTAAACTCTCCACCCCCTGCCCACCCACCCCTTGAATTCAACTGCATGTGTCCCGTCTCCTAATTTCCATCCAATCAAGCAATTCCACCAAAGCTAACCCGTTGATCCCGTATAGAGCAGTACATAGGTGTAGCGGGATTGCTCCAAACACACCGGATGCACACATAATACAATAGCTACCTACTCCCTCCGTTTTGAATTACTTGTCTTGGATTTGTCTAGATACGGAGGTATGTGCTAGATACCTCCGTATCTAGATAAATCCAAGACAAGTAATTCTAGATACCTCCGTATGTAGACAAATCCAAGACAAGTAATTCGGAACGGAGGGAGTACATTACTGTCTCCTCGAGCCGAATTTGTATTCAGTAGGGAGGAACTACGTGAAGCATGATATTTTGGTTACCTCATGTAGTCATGTGCACCGCTGGTGCCCACCTGCGCCACAGTTGGGGCAATGTGGTTCCTTCCTCGGCTTCTTCGGTGTGTCACCTCTGTCTGGGTACGTCGTCGTGCTCTTGTGTCCAGCTTCACTACAAATGCTGCAAAATCGGGTGGCTTGTCCCTGCTACTGGTTGTCCTCCTACCTTCCACCGCTTCTCAGGAGCTGACAACCCAGTTAGGTTTTCAATGGGGGAAAGTTGTGATTCTACTGCCATATAGTTACACTTTCTATTCCTCACCATACATTTTTGCATCAAAGTTCATGCGGGCAAACTTCTATTTTTCGTTTCTCGCAAATAAAAAAACATTTGAACTTGGAACTTTGTAAATCAACATCACACAAGTACTACCATATGCAGAAATGCTTTTGATTTTTTTGGTGCAACAAACATATTTTAAATTGATGCAACTTATTCAAAATTTGTAATTTGACAATTTTGTGATTTACCAATGAAAGTGCGTTATATCGACTAGAGGGGGGGTGAATAGGCGATTTTTATGAAATTCTTCACTAAGGAATTTGCAGATGAGGAAATTCCTTAGCGAAGAACTACTAGCAGCGGAATAAGTACTCAAAAGTAAACACAACAGAATACAAGCATAGTCATCATGATGAAATGAAGACAGGCACAGAGTATAGGAAGCGTAATCACAGGATAACACAGGATGAAGACAAACAGACTAAAGAAATTGAACTGAGGAAATTGAGAAAGTCTTCAGTCAAAGTCTTCAGACACAGATATGAACAAACATACAACACCGTTATGAGGAAATGAAACAGTTGAGGAAATAGAACCAGTAAGCTCAGTGAAGACAATGGTTTGGTAGACCAGTTCCAACTGCTGTCTCAGTTGTACGTCTGGTTGGAGCGGCTGAGTATTTAAACTCGAGGACACATAGTCCCGGACACCCAGTCAAGGACACTTAGTCCAAGACACCCAGTCCTCACCGTATTCTCCTTGAACTAAGGTCACAGAGACCTCATCCAATCACTCGTGGTAAGTCTTCAGACGACTTCCAAACCTTCACAAACTTGGTCACTCGGCGATCCACAATTCCTCTTGGATGCTCTAGACCATGACGCCTAACCGTCTGGAAGAAGCACAGTCTTCAAAGATAACAAGTGTCGGATCCACTCAAGATCAATCTCTTCAATGATGCTCAGTCACTTGGGGTTTGTAGGTGTTTGGGTTTTGGGTTTTTTTTTCACTTGATGATTTTCGCTCAAAGTCCTCGGAGGATGGGTTGCTCTCAAATGACAAGTGCCGGTTTCTCTCGGAGCAGCCAACTAGCTAGTGGTTGTAGGGGGCGGCTATTTATAACCTAGGGAGCAGCCCGACATGATAAGACATAAATGCCCTTCAATGATATGACCATTAGGTGGATAGATATTTTGGGACAGCTGGCGCATAGCACAGCAATGGTCGGAATTTTGAGTAGCAAAATCCTGAGGGCTATCATGTTCCTCACTGTGTAGGCAATCCGCACTGGCGAATTCTTAACTCCTCAGTCAGGACAAATTCCTCAGAGACCAGAAGAACTTCGTCTCTGTCACTGAAGAAATTGACTGGACTGTATGAGATTTCCAATGGCTTCACTCGAAGGGATTGGTAGGTGTAGGATTTTGAGTTGAGCATCACATGGAAATTTTTCCTTAGTATTTCCTCGACCCCCTTTAACAGTACGGTGTTTCCTATGACTCAAGAAAGAGAAAAAGAAAACTATGAAAATGAAATTCTTCAAGCTTCATATTCCTCGCATGAATATCAAGTCTTCACGGACACACCAATTTCTTCACTTTCAAAGTCTTCATGAAAGTCTTCAGAAATACCAAAATCATCAGTCGAAGATATTTATTTTTAGGGGTCGACTTTTCCTGTAAATATCAAACTCCTCATAGACTTATAGACCTGTGTACACTCACACACGCATTAGTCCCTTAACCTGTAAGTCTTCAATACACCAAAATCACTAAGGGGCACTAGATGCACTTACAATCTCCCCCTTTTTGGTGATTGATGACAATATAGGTTAAGTTTTCAACGGGGATAAACATATGAAGTGTAACTACTGATATTGAGGAATTTGATTGCAAGATATAGAAGAACTCCCCCTGAAGATGTGCACAGTGAGGTATTTGCTTTTGAAGCAATGCACACTTGAAGAGTTGAATCATGTTGATCTCCCCCTATATCTTGCAATTCATACACGCATTTAATATATAATATGAAGAATTTGAAATGCATGATGAAATATGGTGCCTGATGAAATTCAGCATGCGTGCAATAATATCAACGAGGAATAAGCATGCAGAATAGTGCATCAAGAGTATCAAAGCACAGTGCATCAAAAGTATCAGAGCACCATCGGGTTTAAGATTACAACTCGATCCAATAAAGTTTCAGAAGAACGAGAGTTGTAAC